CAAAGAAGTCGTTCCGGAACATCATCCTGTCAGAACTTTTCGTTCCACACAGCCAAAATTCAGTTCTTCCACTGATGCATGTTTTCGTARTACTCTAAAACAAAAACACATGCTGCACCTACTTTAATAGCATCGCTGCCGTACATTTTGGAGAAAAGCCAGTAGTTGTGTGGATTTTTCCAGTTGTTTTTCTGTACAATCTCGCGATTTTCCTGCACACAGAAGATTAGGTTACTTAAACGTTGTGCACAGACTGTCCAGGTAAAAACCACCAAATTAAGCAGAACATTTCTTGCTGTACAATAATCCTGTTTTAGTAATGAAACAGTTGTTTAAGACCAAATAAAAGATGATAATTGAAGCAGATACATTGTTATTATCGCCCGCTGCCTGGGCTAAATYCTATGTCTGTGTCTGTCAGGAAAATATCTCCTGAATCAGTAAACAGATTTTAATGAAACTTTCAGAAAGTAATCGTTGGATGCACATCTGCAGCTCATGACCCTTTGGAGTCAACCCAGTTCAAGATGACCACCATAACAGAGCAATGTGAGTACACAAAAATAGCTCCAACTCAAGAGCTACCAAAGCCAACTGGTTTAAGGAAACACAAAAAAATGTCCAGAATTTAGCAGATTTTATAGATATTTGGCTAAAATTTGMGGTGATAATAGCATAACACACTCAGATCTYGAAGCACGATGGATCAGTGGTTAGCCCCGACGCCTCAGAAAGTCCTGGGTTCGATCCCCGGTTCTGACCTGGYGTCTTTGTGTGCAGAGTTTGCATGCCCTCTTCGTTCTTGCGTGGGTTTTCTCCAGGTACTCCGGTTTTCCCCCACAGCACAAAACATGTACAATGGGTCGCCTTCAGGCTCAGGCCACCCTTGAAAAGGCGATCTGTGATCTCAGTGGGGTTTACCTGGTTAAATAACGGTAAATAAATAAATAAAATCTTTTTTTTTTATAAAATATCTCTATCTGCTTGGAGCATTCCACAGGTGAGCAGGTGGAAACAAGCAGGTGAGTGTCAAAAGGAACATCCTCGAAAGGCTCAGTCATTTACAAGGATGGGGCAAGATTCACCACTTACTCTGTCAGTAAGGGATTTCATCATCTACAGTCCATTACATCATCAAAAGATGCAGAGAATCTGGACAAATCTCTGCAAATAAGGCAAGGCTAAAACCCAACACTGAACACCCGTGACCTTCAACCCCTCAGGCAGCACTGCTTTAAAAACCAACACCACTCTGMAACAGATATTACCACACGGGCTCAGGAACACTTCAGAAAACCATTATCGGTGATCACAGTTTGTTGCTCCATCTACAAGTGCAAGTTAAAACTCTACCATGCAAATCCAAAGCCATAATCACCACAAAGTGGATGATGTGAGTACTTCCAGGGACAAACTGTATATAAGTGTTTACTGTATATTTTGACCTACAAATGGCACAATAAGCTGGGCAAATAGAAAATAACATTAAAACAGCAAAGTGTGTGTACAAAAAAGAGCTGTCACTTTAACATAAACTGCAGGTTTGTCTGTAGGTCTCATGTATTTTTGGTTAAAACATGCTTTTCAGTGAAGTAGAGAGTCCAGAAACTTGACTCAAGTAGGAGTGGCAATACATAATATTAATATTACCCGAGTAAAAGCATAAAGTATYCTATAGCATAATTACTCCTAAAAGTTGCTCAGGTAAATGTAGTTAGTTAGTACCCACCTCTGGATGTAGATAAACTTTTGGAATTGATCCAGTTCAAGATGGCTGCTGAAGCTAGCCAGTATTAAACATCACAAAAATATCTATATCTTTCAGTTTTACAGCTTTTGGGTTAAAATTTGGTGTTGTAAGAGCTGCAGTTCATCCACAGCACATACTAGTGTTGCATCTTGTACAGTATTTTATATGGAGCCTCTWTTTATTAGACAAAAATGCTATATTATTGACTTTACTGTTCACTTTTGTCCCCCTTAATTTAAAGGAAATCAAACAAAGAGCATTTATTATTCTAAGTTCATAAGTGAAATTCTAGTCAGAATAAAGACTTAACTCGAGAACTCATTTGTGTAAAAAAATATAAAATTTTTATTCCCAGCTACACAGTGAAACATGTAACATTTTTGTCACACTTCTCAACAAAACAGTAAAAAATAATGTTGAAAAAAAATATTAAACTTTAAAGCACTGGAAAAAATGCACTTCTTTAAATTAATTTAAACTGTACAAATATATACACGATTTACATATCAACAATAAAAAAAAAGGAATGAAATTACAATTCTTCCAGTCTGTTCTTCAAATCGTTGTATGCTGCTGTAGATTCTCAGTCAACTTGTTCTTTAAAGATGCCTGGTCTCTTTACTCTGACCTGAAATAATAACYGCTACGATGTTTTATTGTTCTTTCCTTTTTTTTCTCAGTGCCTTTGCAACTGTTTTATATCTAACCCTAAACTCAGTGAGCTGCTTGGTTTCTCGTCCTCATGTTGGGCCAAAGCTCTGACCTTTCCCCCACTCTGTAAGCACACACACACACACATATATACACACATAGACAAGGCTCGCATTAAGGCTTGAACTCACACACACAGACACATTCAGACCTGTTTGGACTGTGAAACACTGACTTGCTGTAATCCGTTTGCTCCCAACACAGCTGCTCAGGTTTTACAGCTCTGGTCTTGGACTAATTCAAACATCTCGTTTAGAGAGGAGGTCAGCGTTTCTACGTATAAATAAGCATAAAAGTAAAAAACGGTCGGATCATGCGGAATGGGCGGAAACCAGACAGCAGGTTTGTCGTTTAAAACAAAAAACAAAAAAAAATTAAAAGTTATAGTGCAGAAATCTTTTGGAGCTGCGGGGCAACCCTCTGTCTGAGTCTAATTGGCTGCCATGCACCAGCCATACAACACTCACAGACACCAAGCCAAGTGTCTGAGCTACTTAACAAATGAAAAAAAAAAAGGCAAAAATAAAATAAAACATAAAAAAACACATATATATTGAGCTGCAAATTGAGATGGAGTTCTGTTTTTTTCAAGTCATAAGCTCGAATCATCTCCCTGGGGTTCACGCCATGTCGCCGTACATCTTCTTGTAATACATCGACTCGAAGATGTCGTTCTCCCCGGGGCAGTTATAGTGGCAGGCGCAGGACTTGATGAACATCATGTGCTTCTTCATGACTTGCCCGTCGGGGCACTTGAACTCCATGGGCAGGGTGGTGGTCCTGTGCGGGGTGCAGCAGCGGCCGTCCAGGCAGACGCCGCAGAACTTGGGCCTGTAGGACTTGGTGGTGGTGCAGCCGGAGATCTCGAACTTCATGGGCTTGGAGACTCTGGGTGTACGGATGCACTTTTTCCCTTTCTGCGAGAAAGGAAAAAAAAAACACACAGAGAACAAACAAATTAAGGTGGTGTTTATGGGAAGCAACGACTTGTAGTTTAGGAGCAACTTGTTTGAACAAGGACTCACCCTGATGCTTTGCTCCAGCTGTGACTCACACGGTCGCACCATGCACAGACGGGTRTGTTTTTCCAGGCGGCAGTCACGGTTGTCGTTGGTCACCCTGGTGGAGATTCCGAGACCGCAGGTTTTGGAGCAGGCACTCCATTCAGTAGTTTGAACCAAGCAGTTCTCTCTCATCATATTTGGGTCTGGACCGTAAGTCTCTTCCTCTCTGTACGCTACAAACACAGGAGGAAACATCGGATTAAAAAAAACAAACAAACCCTAAATGCGCCATAGTTCTGCAAAGAAGGCAAACAAGGAGACACTCACCAGCCAGTGCAGAGCCCACAAAAGTGTTTTTAGTGGGAGAGTCACACACCCACTCCTCGCAGCACTTCCCAGGCACCTTGACTCGTCTCGGCATGAGGCAGTCTGGGCTGGGCAGCCGGACGTTCATGGAGCAGAGCGGGACGCAGCCCACGGCGCCGTCCAGACAGGTGCACTGGTACTTGCAGTCGCTCTGGAACGTCTCCCCGCTTTTGTACACCATGCCTCCGATCACGCAGGTGGCTCCCTCTTGGGCTGTGGAAARGCAAGGCGGAGGTCACGGTTCGGCTCGCATACGTTAAGTGTGTGYCGACGCAGAGGAGAACTTCAGTGGCTCACCTGTGCAGACGCCAATGCGTCTGTTGGTGGGGGCACCGAAGTCACAGTAAAGGCCTTTGTGTGGGTCGCAGAGGTCTRTCTCCGTGCACAGCTCGCCCATCTGTTTGGCGCACACTCTGCAGCAGCCGCAGCCGTCCAGCACCAGGCTCACTCCCGGGGGGCACTGAGGGGGAGCAGAGGGGCACGAACACTGGCCGGTGCACTCCTGACCCACCGCCTAAGCACAGAGGAACACGCTCCGGTAAGTGTCATGCACACACTTTTGCTCTACAGACAGAGAAGCATCTGTACACTCATTTTAAACGTACGTTTAAAGAGATCAGTTTTAGCTGGTGTGGCTTACCATGTGTGAGAAGAGGATACACAGCACTGGGAGCAAGATGGTTTTCGTCATTCCGGCAGACATCTTCTCAGGTGTTTGCTAATAAATTCTGGTTCTTCCAAAGTCTTCCCGGAGAAAGTTGTCCTTTCGTCTCAGAGGTTGAGCTCGTGAAAGTCTTCTGATCAAGTTGATCTCTTGTCAATCCGGAGCTCTGCTCACTGTCTTGCTTTTTTTCTTCTTCTTTTTCTCAGTGAAAGCTAGAGTTTAGCTTCAGTAGAGGAGTTGATCTGAGTTCTGACTGCACACTGGAGCTCCCTTTATACTCCCCGGCCCTCGCAGCACGTCACTGGGGGCTGAATGGAGAGCCAGCCCTGGATAAACATGGACATACTTGGCATTCTTTCCTCACTTCCTGACCCCCACTCCAGACATCCCACATTCCTGCCGTCTGAAGGCAAGGCTCTGCCGCTCAGCCAAACAACACCGTTTCTCTCTTTCTCTCTCTCTCTCTCTCTCTCTCTCTCTTTCTCTTTCTCTCTTTCTGTCTCTCTCTCTCTCAGAGCTGCTTTCATCTGTAACAGGAGGATATGTCTGCTTTGGAAACCCAGGACCCCACACTGGGAATTCCTGAAGACTGACTTCACAAACAGACAGCCGCCACCTATAAATATTTAATATTTTTTTAAAGAAGGAAGGAAAGAAAAAAAAAAAGAAAGGACACACAGTTCAAAAGTGAAGCCACTTAGAGTTTACCATGAAAGAGGAGCAGTTAAAACACAACAGGTAGACGCTCATTAAAATGCATCAAATCATAAAACAAACAGATTGATGAGTAACAGGTGGTTAAGACATTTAAGCCCACAACAACATTCCTCAGCGTTGGCTTCAAAGACGCACAAACATTATGCTTTGGTAAATTAAGCGGTTAGGAAAAGGAAACCGTTGGAGTCATTAACTTGAGCTGGTTATCTGTCAAGGTGCTCATTCCAGTACAATAGGCCTGCCAGCTGCTGTCTCGTAACTTTGTCTTCTTGTTCTCGTGTGGTCACGTCTGGGAAACTGCAGCTGAAGTTTCTTTATTTTAAGTCCATCATACGTGCATTTTGTTCTCTTCAGAATGAGAGCAGCACAAATACCTCCTAATGTAACGGACATCGAATAAACTTCACTTTTTTTTACTTTAGGAAAATCACTATTCAGCCATTTTTATTAACCTGCTTTTCCTTTCCAGTTTGCAAAAAGCTGGTGTTTATCTCCTATAATCACTGTGAGAAGCGGACAGTCCCTGGACAGGCTGCAGAGTTGTAAAGTAACCAAGTACAAATACTTTGTTACTGTACTTAAGTAGAAATTTTGGTTATCTGTGCTTTACTTGAGTAATTATTTTTCAGCCTATTTTTTACTTTTACTCATTACATTTTCACACAATTATCTGTACTTTTTACTCACTACATTTTTTAAAAAGGTAAGAAGTAGAAAGTCGTTACTCCTATTTTATTCCGAGTTGTTATTACTTAAAAAATACTATCCTTATATTGTGTCTCCTGGATAGAGTGAATTTAACTGTAGTTGGATGAGAAGTATAAATATAAACCATTCGGACACCCTATTAGCTTGTACACAACCCATCACAGCTGCTCGCCTTTAGAAAAAATATTTTGTGGAGAAGTCACCTCCCAAAAAATGTCATTTTAGAAAATCTAACTGCTCACTTTTACTCAGTACTTTTACTTTTAATACTTAAGTAGATTTTGTGTCAGAAATTTACTTTTGATACTTAAGTACAAAAAATATCAGATACTTTAAGACTTTTACTCAAGTAATATTTTTAGAGAAGACTTTAACTTTTACCGAAGTATTTTTATGATAAGGTACTTGTACTTTTACTCAAGTATCACTTTGAGGTACTTACAACACTGACAGGCTGCAAGTCCATCACAGGGACACGTGGAAACAAACAAAACAACTATTCACACTCTAATTGACATAAACAANAGTAATATTTTTAGAGAAGACTTTAACTTTTACCAAAGTATTTTTATGATAAGATACTTGTACTTTTACTCAAGTATCACTTTGAGGTACTTTATACAACACTGACAGGCTGCAAGTCCATCACAGGGACACGTGGAAACAAACAAAACAACTATTCACACTCTAATTGACATAAACAAATAAGAGTTATTGTCTTTTTGTGCCATTAAAACTAAATAATTTTCAACAGCAGTCTTGCTGGASAAACCAAATTTTTGTGTAATTTCAGCTAAACACATGAAAGATTTGGTAAAGATGAGATGAAATGGATGTAATCTGAAAGTTCATCACTAGATGGTGCTAATTCCCACATGCTGCCCCATTGAGTGACAGGATGTCTCAAAATAAATGTCAGATCAAAGTAAATGACTTGTTTTTAACATCCTGCAAGACAAACAATGTGCTACACACAGACATGTTTGAATTAAATAAAGCTCAAGCGCACTCTGCAGCTTGTGGCGCTTTATGGTTCATTCATTTAAGTGCTCAATGACAACATTTGTGCTCTGCATTTGACCCAACACCCACCCGACTGAAGCAGTGGACAGCTACGTTAAGTGGGAGCAGCCAAAACAACAACAGTGTATTTTCATCAACATTAATAAAAACGAAACTGAAATTTCTTCAAGGTTTGGCCACTGCCAACCATCTCACGTGCAAAAGTTTGAATCTACTCACAATAAAAGTATATGTTGATATATATTATATACATTTTTTTTGTGTTTGCTAAATTCAATAAGCTGTGGTGGCCATCTTGAATTGTGTTGACTCCAAAAGTGAATATAGATGCACATCCYTTGTTTGTGAGCTATATTGCTAACAAGCAATTACATAATCGCCTACTTTTCACACAGCAGTCAGTATTGTAGCTGTTATTAGAACAGTAATACCACCAGCAGCTGCTAAACAAACAATGACTGAACTAAACCAACTGTGTGATATCTGAACTGTTGGGCCAGGCCAGCCTCTGGCACAGTGGCAGGGCAGCTGGCTCAGGATCAGAACGTTGCAGGATCGGTTAAACAAACAGTTAAGAGAAAGTGTAACATTTATTTTTATCATTAATATGTGATGTTCAATAAACAGCAAAATGCTGGCAGACTCCTTTTAGAGTTACCAATAAAACCCAGTCCAGGCAGGCTGAACAGAAAGTTATATTTCTTCAAAAACACTGACGTCACAAACTCAACAAAACTTCCCAAAACGAATGTGAATTAATTTGAACATCAAGCTGCTTTTTGTTCCTGCTGAACGAGGAACATTTTCAACCGGAGGCTGGAGATTTTGTCTCACGTTGAACAGGACATCTTGAGTCCACTGAGTCCTATTCAGCATAAATAGTTCAAAACACTGAGCTGACTTCAGTGAAAGTGCAGCCCGGTCCATGAAGGTAACACAGGGCTGACACGACAAGAACAAACACTGCATGCTCTTGGACTTCTCACCTGCCTAATGAGGTTTAGTCTGTGATGGACTTGAAAAGGCCAGGTGTGCCCRGTTCCTGGCCAGGCTTATTTTACTACATCAAACCCAAAGTAAAGGCTTTCAGGAAAGAGGCTAGACGAAGGTTTGTGTATTTTCTTTTTTTTCCCCCCCTTTTGGAAAAGGGGATCTCACACCAGGCTAGACTCTCATGAAAGGCTGCCCTGCTCCTTCTCCAGCCAGTAAATCGGAAATGAAAAGCTCCCGAAGAAACTGGGAGCTGAAGGAAAGGAATGCAAGGGAAAAGCCAGCAGACTGGGTTGTTACTCCAGAGGAAGCGTCCCCATATAAGGGCATCTGCGCTTTCCCTAATACGGTTATGTTCTCTTTCTGCGCCGGCTCAGTACAGTAGGGACTCTTGACCATTTGACCACAGCTGTTGAAAGTGTGAAAGTTTGGTTTTTCTGTGGTTTGTCTGGAAAAAAAACAGGAGAGAATGTGTGCTGCATGTCATCGCAGCCTCAGGACCCAGACTTAAATTGCAGGCTATCAAACGGAAGCAGCTTGATGAAGGAGCAGGCTCCTGCCTCGCAGCAAAACAATATTCAGACATAGCTGACATTGTTATCTTACACGCGCAGCGATCTGGCTTAGTTTTTGTCAGGCTGTTGCATAAGTCTGCTTATCACAGGGCATTTTTAGGAGAACGTTTTAAACGAATGTCATCGGATGATAAAGAGAAAACACCATTGTTTCATGCTTCTAGTGATTAAGCTATTATTTTTTGGCAGCAATGACGTGCACAACACAACACATCTTTTTTTTTTTTCAATTCCTTTGTAACTGTACTTGTTTTGCAAACAACATTTAGCAATTCTCCGGAATGTGTTTTTGATTGTGTTGCTGGGTTGACATTCTGAAGAYCTGTATATTTTGACACATTTCCAGACTGCAGTAAATACATCATCTTTGTTTGTCCTCTAAAAGAATCTGAGCTCACGTCAAGTAGAAATAAATTAAATCAAACTGTAATTCTGATGAAGCCACATTTTTCTCCAAAAGTTGTCCTTAAAAGGTCATGATATTAGACTTAAAGTAGAGCTTAGATCGGGCCTAAAAAAACTGGATGTAACCCAATATTGACATTTTGTGTAAGCCCAATTCAACCTGACTAATTAACTCTAATTAAAGGTCCAAGCCCTAAGTAAACCCATCATATTATTTTTAATCTAAACTACCTTAGAGCATGAAAGGTTTTCTTCACATTCTGTACTCTATAACTGATGTCACTGCTGATACAGTACTAACTACTGATAAATATTTGAACAGTACTTTAAAAATGGCTAGAATATCCCTTTCACGTGTTTTGACATGGGTTTATGTTAGGGCTGTCAAATGATTAATATTTTTAATCTGATTAATCCCAAAGTAGCTGTAAATTAATCATGATTAATCTTAAATTTAATATACATCTCTATTGCATATTGATAAAATACATTACTTGAGTCATTAATTAGTTTTTAATGTTTTTATTTAGAAAACAAAATTGATGTTTAGACATGATTTTTTGAATATAAAACAGGACCTAAAAATGCTCCAAACATATTTGAGTCAGTTAAATTTTGTGCAGAACAATGAGGTTAGATTTCATTGTATATATTTGTTATTCATTCATTTGCGATTAATCGCAATTAAAAATTTTAATCTATGCCCATGCAGCACTAAAATTAATCAGAGTTAATTCAATTAATTTCACAGCCCTAGTTTATGTGGAAAGTTTATGAACATATCTGTGATTTGCTGCACCAGAAGTGCTARAGCTAACAGGTGCAGCTGCTATCACGACAT